TATCGAAATATAATAACCATAAAAACCATATAACCACACAAAACACCCTAGCAATCACATAGCAACCATATAGAACACCTGAGAAACCACATACAGTAGCAACGCCTTGGCAACCATACAGAACACCCAAGCAACTGCATAGCAACACCCTGGCAACCATATAAAACACCCTAGCAATCACCTAGCAACACCCTGGCAACCACACAGAAAACCCTAGCAACCACATAGTAACACCCTGACAACCATACAGAACACCCTAGCCATCTCAAGCATTTCGACAATAACAACAATAGCCTGGCAACCAAACATAACATCCTAGCAACTGCATAGCAACACCCTGGCGACTAGACAGAACACCCAAGCAATCACAGAGCAACACCTTAGCAACTGCATAGGAACACCTTGGCGACCACACAGAACACCCTAGTAATCACATAGTAACACCCTGGCGACCACACAGAACACCCTAGCAATCACATAGCAACACCTTAGCAACTGCATAACAACAACCTGGCAACCACACGGAACACCCTAGCTACTGCATAGCAGCACCCTGGTGACCACACAAAACACCTTAGCAATCACATAGCAACACCTTTGCAACTGAATAGCAGCACCCTGGCGACCACACAGAACACCCTAGCAATCACATAGCAACACACGCACAGGCTGGTTTCACTGCTTCTGAAGTATATGTATCTTGATTTAAGAATTGTTTTGACAGTTTTAATGGAAAACAAGACAAAAACACTAAATTAATAATTTTTTGCAGTGTATAAATCAGTTAAGAACACCACTAAAAATCCGGCAAACCTTTTTTCAGCTGATGCTATTAGAGAGAGACGTGACAGTCTCATGCGATAATGTCAGTCAATGTGAAACGGCCGCAATCAGAGCGAGCGATAACATTTCTACTGAGCGGCACCTTTACAACTGCATGTCTCTTCAAACACTGATTCAGAGAAATGTCACTGATAACCACCATCTGAAAGTGACAGTACTCACACCATAATGATCTTCTGTTTTCTAAATTCACTCAACAACAATCCATGAAAACAGACATTCAAGAGTCGCTAAACTAGTGAGCTGTGATCAACACTCTAAAAAACATAAAGACACATAACAAACATAAATACTGGGTATATAACTTAATTAGATTGAACTAGTTTTCATGCCTTTCATTATTGCATGACATATACAGTATTTAGCATTAATTTCTCTTCATTTGAATAATACCAAGTCAACAACCTGTTTCATGACTGATGAACTTGACATTGTTGTTGAACTAAATTGAATCAACACTGAACTTGATTGAGCTGAATAATGACACTGCTTTATATTAAATTATTGAATTTTGCAACATTAACAGTTATTTTCCTGTTTATTACTACTGAAACAATCTGTGTTGTATGAAGCACAATCTAAATAAATTGTATAAATAATGAATAAATAAATGGAATTTACATAAATAAAATATATATATAAAATAAAAGACTTGACCAACTTATTTTGCCTCCTTCCTATTGTATTTTTTCCCTCTCCCTAAAAAATACATGCATGTGCCAATCATTTACCCCCTATTTCTGTAGTAATCTGATGGACTGTATAGAGTTATTGCGCTTTAGAATGGCACAATATAAATAGAAATTATTATTACTGGTCCCGAACCCATTTTAAAAAGTCATTTTAAAAAATTTACGAGGACAAAAAAAAAAAAAAAACATAAAAGAAAATAAAACAAAAGAAAATAAATATAAAAAAGAAAATAATAAATGAATTAATTAATTGTTAAGATAATAGAATAATATTAAAACAAGTAAAAAATAATTAATAATATAATTTAAATATTAAAAAAATAAAATAAACACTGGCAAAATATCTACAATATTTTCTTACAAATTTAATAAGTATAATATTTCTATTTCGCTTACAACATATAATTTTTGAATGTCTGTCAATGGAGAAAGATGCGTCTCGCAGTGAGATGGTGTAGTTACGGCATCTAACCACTAGGTATGTGTTTTCGTCTCTGACCCTAAAGGTCAAGGTCACCGTCAGCTGATATGACCAATTAAACGTTCGGTGAACATGAGCATAATATAATTAAGAAATGCGCAATGATGTGGACGTCAGCATGATATAAATCACTATTAAAAAGGAGTTTGACAGTTTTCATTATAGTCGAAATGAAGCTTGATGGATGAACCGGAAAGGAGGTTTTAATTGAACATTTGCTTAAATATTCCTGCCAGAGAAAGTTGACGTCTTTAACTGTCCCTAATTGCAAATTTCAGATATTACAGATATTAATAACACTGACGACTCTTTCAGCGTGTGCGAGACGAGTCACTGTAAAATATGGCAGCTAAAAGTGGGGCTTCAGCTTCAGCTCTGACTTTCTGTTTGGAATTATGTTCAACATGATTGTCGTGATGTATATTAATTATGATGTTCGCCAGAGAGACAGAAGCTGCCAAGATCTATCTGGCAGGAGCTGAATGAGACAGAACAATCAGTCAGAGAGGGCAAACGTATTTCACAGATGTTCGCTTTGGCCCGAGAGCGAGGATGATGGGACTCGTGAGAAAAGCGATATGCTGGATGACTTTCCCGTCCTCAGCAGCAGCGGCTAGTCAAGCACATAATAACGGCTCTCCGTGTAACGATATGAAGATCCGCGCTCGACATTATGAGCGAAAACTAATGAGGTTCGCCTGTATTTTCATCTCACCTTGTCGACAGGTGTCCTTCAGCGAAACCCTCAAATTGCATTTTCTTTGCAAAGAATATTGATTCATATTGATTTCGGCCCTCCCTGGATTCTATATGCTTTCGTCCTTGAGAGTGAATCTCAAAATTTACAGCCTCGACCCAATGAGAGAAAATATTGCATTTTCTTATAGTCTTCATGCGGTTGAGAATTATGTGCAAATGGCTTTGTCATGGACATACAGTGAGGGAAATAAACTTTTATTATGCCTGAAATGAAACAACCTGCAGCCCTAAACTCCATCAGAAAAGTGAGAGGTTAAAAAAAACAAAACACAGGTGGATGAACAGGTATTTGAATATTTCACCTAATAATGAAACTCTACAGTAGGACGTCATGTTTAAACCTCATTATGCGCGCTTGAACAAACCAAACTCTCCACCTCGAGTCCTCATAACAAAGCCCAAAGCCATTTCAAAGGCAGAATAAAAACATGTTTTTTATGTATTTTTCTTAACTGCCCTCTTGGTATTTACATTTATGCATTTGACAGTTGCTTTTATGCAAAGAAATTTACACTGAGTAGATGTTGCACATTTTAATCAGCTCATGCATGTTCATTTTGCTGGGAATCGAACCCATGATCTTGGCGTTGCGAGTACCACTGCTGTTTGAGGTTCAGGAAAGCACACAGAACAAGTGCTTTTTCACACTTCTTCTGTTTAAAATCCATATTATCCATACTTTCTCCTTCACTTAGGTAAAAAATAGAAATTAATATAAAATAAAAAACATATACAAACACACACGTGCATATATATATATATATATATATAAAATATAAACAGTTTTAAAACTTTAAATAATAGTTTTAATACAGTTTTAAAAATCAGAAGTTCTTTTGTTTTATGTTAAAGGTTTACTGTTTTTACCTGCTTTTTTTTTTTTTTAATGTGTGATTTTTGGAGAATTACATTGAACTAACAATCGTACCCAGAATATGAACATAATACAAAGGTTAACCATAACTATTTACTTATCTGCGACGGTTGCTATTGTATGCAGTTAAAATATACTAACAATACTGTTTATAAAATGTAGAAAAAAAAAACATTCTAATATGCTGATTTGCTGCTCAAGAAACATTGGTTATTATTATTATTATTGATATTTAAAACAGTTGAGTAATTTTTTTCAGGATTCTTTGATGAATAGAAAGATCCAAAGATCAGCATTTATCTGAAATAAAAATATTTTGTAACATTATACACTCTACCATTCAAAAGCTTGGAGTAAGTATAATTTTTGGATGGAATTATAGAAATTAATATTCTTTTTTTTAATACTAATTTTACAATTATTTTATATTCTTTTTTTTGTAATTAGAGTTAAAGGTTTACTGTTTTTTTACCAGATTCTTTTTATAGTGGGATTTTTGGAGAATTACACCATAATGATAGCAATACAATGTAATGCAAGGGTTATTATGAGCGAAAACTAATGAGGTTCGCCTGTATTTTCATCTCACCTTGTCGACAGGTGTCCTTCAGCGAAACCCTCAAATTGCATTTTCTTTGCAAAGAATATTGATTCATATTGATTTCGGCCCTACCTGGATTCTATATGCTTTCGTCCTTGAGAGTGAATCTCAAAATTTACAGCCTCGACCCAATGAGAGAAAATATTGCATTTTCTTATAGTCTTCATGCGGTTGAGAATTATGTGCAAATGGCTTTGTCACGGACATACAGTGAGGGAAATAAACTTTTATTATGCCTGAAATGAAACAACCTGCAGCCCTAAACTCCATCAGAAAAGTGAGAGGTTATTTTTTAATAATAATTTTACAATTATTTTATATTCTTTTTTTTGTAATTAATGTTAAAGGTTTACTGTTTTTTTACCAGATTCTTTTTATAGTGGGATTTTTGGAGAATTACACCATAATGATAGCAATACAATGTAATGCAAGGGTTAACCACGATTACGCCGTCAAACTGACCCGCAGACATCATAATTGCAATAGAAATTGTATGCGCACTTTCCACAACAGAGTGTTGAAACGTTGCATGCATGATCATGATCCTAAACAACAAAGAGTCTCCAAATATCAAGAAAAAAACCCAGTAATTGCGATGACTCAAAAACCCACTGGCAACACAATACTTCCAGACAAACATTCCTTCGCCAAGCTGCTATTCTCTCAGATGCAGACATGAGTTCATGACAGGCATGCTTGATTTAAACCAGCCTATCGTCTTCGGTCTGAATCCTCCGCTCTCATACTCACAGATGTAGTAATACTCTCGGCCCGGCCGGAACTCGAAGCCCAGCGAGAAGGGCGTGAAGAGCTGGAACTTCTCGGAGAACTTGAGCGGGCCGTTGGGCGAGTGCGGCCGGTTGCACTCCCAGCGCTTGAAGCCTTTGGCCGTGTGGTCGCACGTGCTGTAGCCGTCGTAGTTGACCATGTAGAGCACATAGCGCTCCGCTCTCTCCTCAGGGACCGAGTCCTCGTAGTGCGGACAGTAGACATCCAGGTAGTCGTTTATACAGACGTCGATGTGATAGTCTCCACGGTGAAACCTGCAGGACACAGAGAGCCAGATGCATCAGAAAACAATCCTACGCTTCTCCTACCGAGTGCTTCATGCATCCGCAAGAGAAATATGTGATGAAATATCTGCTTTGAAATGAATGCTCTCCTAAGTTAAAACGATCTTGCTCATAAATCACTCAGTGATAATTTAGTATCATTGATATACTATTTCAGTTTTTGTTCATATTTTGAATTAGATTGTATTTTTCTGTGTTTACTTTAATTCTAAAGATTTAGTAATATTGCTGTGTTCTTGTCATTATTATAATTTTAAATACATTTATATGGTTCTTATTCAATTTAATTGATTAGTTTTAGTTGTGACACTTTAAAATAAGGTTCCATTTGTCACCAATAGTTAATTATATTAGTTAAAATTAACTAACACAAAAAAATATTTCTAAAGCATTTATTAATCTTAGTTAATGTGAATTTCAACATTTACTTATAGATTATTAAAATCAAAAGTTCTATCTATTAATATTTATATTATGAATATGAACTAACAACAAACAGTTGTATTTTCATTAACTAACGTTAATGAAGATTAATAAATATTTTAACTTATATGTTGGTCACTGTTAGTTAATGTTAGTTACTAACATCAACTAATGGTAAAGTATTACTGTTTTAGTTCATTTAGTTAGCGATCGTAGTACTTCGAGTTAATCTAAATGAAAATGAGAAATGTTGCCTTGATAACTATCTGAAATAAAATACGTTTTGAAAGATTTTTCAAAATTCTATATTTTTATATTTCATTTTAGTTTAGTTTTATAAGATTCTTTAAAATATGTTTATATTTATTATAGTTTATTTTTACTTTTTTATATTTTTATATATTTTTTTTATGTTTAAAAGATTTGAAAAATATTTTTATATTTTTTATATTTTTATGTTAGTTACTAACACTAATTAATGGAACTAATTAATGTACTTATTGTACAATTAAACTAAATGAAAATTAGAAATGTTGCCTTGGTAACTAGCTGAAATATGATATTTTAGTTAATGTCTGTTTCAAATTACATTATTATTATTTTTTTTAATTATGGTTTTAGTTAATAATAATAACACTCGGTCGAGATTAGATGCATTTTACTGAGGTTGGTGCTGGTTTGCATTTTGAAAACTCCAACGTGCAACACAAGAAATGATCTCATTAATCACAAAACAGACTAACAAGTCCAAATGCGAGCCTGATGTGTTTACATGCTCTCATCTCACCGATGAAATGCATAACCTGCCCATATTTGGTTCTCAAAACATTGCAAAGTAAATGAAAACGAACAGCGGTAAGCGTTAAAGAGAATGACCTCCGACTGACTCTAAACCAACGCTTGTCAAAGCGACAGTATTTCTCTCTTTGTGTCGCTGACCCTCACCTGTAAATACTCTCCACAATGTCTTCTAAACTTTGAACGAATGACTAAACAACCTCGTTCCTGCCGCTAAACAGACATTTTTCAGGCGGGCCAAAGTTTTAAGTGAGAATCAGTTAGAGAAATGGCCTGACAGAAGCTTTTAATTGAAATTCTCCATCCTTGAACGTATTTTTGTTAGCTTGGGGAATTACTTTTATTGCTGCTGAAAGATCATTAAACTTAAGTGTATTCTAGTTTAAATGCACAATATAAATACCATGGTAAACAAATATGGTAAATGTTACTACTAAAAATGTGAGAAAACAGATTTATCTCTGTTTCTGCAGAAATACAGACAGATTGTTGAAAATGAATATTACGTTTCTCTGGATGAGAGAGAATAGAGTTGCAGTATTTCTTTTGAAACCCCAGCATCCTGAATATTATTCACATGAGGAATGTCCCTGTAAAGTCTAGCGAGGTTTTAATCTGTTTTTATTTGTTACTGATATCACGTCGTCTGCACATAAATTCCCTGATTTCCAGAAACCTCTTGGCAATCGTGGGACTTTGCACAACCTATTTTAACTTCAATTCTATTGGTGTCCTTCAAAAGAAATAGTCACACACAGACATGTATTCAGTTGTGTGTGTAGCACGACCTAATTTAGCAAAAATAATTTGAGCAAGCTTGAAGCACATTTACAGTAATGCACGTACAGTGGAAGTCTATGGACAAGACATTCAGCAGGGTTTAAAGCAGAAATGTGCCGTTTGTGTTTTAAAGCACATGTTAAATCTTGAAAATGAGCTATAAAGTGTCTAATTAATTTTTTTCCCACATCAGTCTAAATAACAACAACAACAACAATAATATAACTACTACTATTAATAATAATGTTACACAACAAATACATATTTAATAAAATATGTATATATTGTATAGTATGTATGTACACACACACACACATATATACATATATTATTATTATTATATTATTATTAATTATTGATAAGCTGTAAAATCTCTAATTAGGCTACTTTTCAAGGTGATTTATCCACATCAGACTAAATACTAATCAACAACAAAAACAAGAATATATAATAAAAATGTTATAAAATATATACTTATTTAATCAAAACTATTATATTTACTATATATATACACACACACGCATATATATTGCAATGTATTATTAATTATGAATGAACTGTAAAGTCTAAACAACAACAACAATAATAACATAACTAGAACTATCAATAATAATAACACACAATATACTTATTTAATCAAAGCAATTATATATACTGTATATATATTATATCATGTATTATAATATATATTAATATGTTGCAAAATATATTATTATTATTATTTACTAGTTTACAATATTTTTAATAAAATTTACGATTATATATATATATATATATATATATACATTTTAAAATATATAAACTAATAATAATAATGTTACAATATATGTGTAAAATATTATTATTATTTATAATTTTGATGATGTGTTAATGTGTAAGTCTTATGCTTTTACTTTCTAAACAGTGTGTATTTAAATGTTTATCTGACTTCCACTGCAAGTGCATTACTGTAAATGCAATTTTCGTTTGTTTTTACAAAGTGGAAATGATTTTCTGTGTTAATGGACCGGATGTCACAGATGCCGGATCTCGTACTGATCCTGGAAAGTTCCTTTAATACATTCATCCGGGTGATTTTTCTCTACAGAGTTCTGCCACTCCTGCAGGAAAAGTCCTCCGTGCTCCGGTCAGGTGAAAGGGAGTAATTAAAAACTAGGAATGGATGGCAGGCTAATTGTCAAATTATGATAATTACGGTCTTTGTTATGCTCCAGCTGTCTGGGAGAGAAGCTGAGGTCAAAACGCAGCTCTGGCCGGCCTGCGCTCTGTAATCAGAGGAGGATCGGCCAACTTTAGAACATTTATTACACACTGATTATAAACCCCGAGGAGCTCGCGACGCTTTCTGTCTTTGACTCTGAACTGCTCGTGTTTGGGACTGAGGTGGCCTTCCATACGGCCTCCTGATCGGTCTATTTCCATGACAATTACACAGCGATGAAGAGCCGTCTGACGGCACAATGATTACGCTGCTCGACCGCCCGACAGAGAGAGAGAGAAACGATTCACTGTGATAAGACCTGCAGGTGTGATAAATATTTCACAATATTACTGCTTTTGCTGTATTTCTGATCAAATAAACGCAACCTTGGTGAGCAGAAGAAAATTCTTCAAAAAAAAAAATTTTTTTTTAATTAAAAATCTTACTGTTCGAAAGCTTTTGACTGGTAGTGTATCTACATGTTTTGCATTATTCTGGAGAGTGAACGCATGTCCAGGATGAGGATGCAATACATTCTGTCACATTTCTGCACACTATATGTTCAGTACGTCTGTATCCACACATCTCCACACCCGTCTGCTGTTCTTAAACACAGCGTCATTCTACTTTACATCCTCACTGGAGCTGACAGCTGCACTTACTTCTCACTGTTCACTGTGCAGAGCTCACATAAACATGCCTCGCTGTACTGTACTTACAGTGACGCTGTCATCAGCATAAACAAAGTACAACAAATACTAGTATGATGCATAAACAACTTGACCCTCTATCACTAGCACTCTCTATTCTATTAATATTCTACTTGTTTTCTTTAGTTTATTAAAATCATCTGTTAAGGGTGATTTCCGATGACAGCGCTGCTCACTGCATTTGTTAACTGCGTCTTACAAGCTGTTATTAAAAGTAAAAATAACGTCCTTGTTTACAACCCTGTTTCAGTCTCTTTCAATATAAAAGTCTTTACTGCGGACTCACTCAGAAAAACCGTCTCTTGTCGCCATCTAAAGGTGGAACAATGTAACTAAACAGGCCGCTTCTCAATATCAAATGCTACTATTAATTATATAAAATATTATTTATTGAATAATAATAATAATAATAATAATAAATGTTTTTTGAGCAGCAAAGCAGCATATTAGAATAATTTCTGAAGATCATGTGACACTGAAGACTGGAGGAATGATGCTGTAAATACAGCTTTGAAATCACAGGAATTCAAATAGAAAGCAGTTATTTTAAATAGTAAAAATATTTCACAATATTACTGCTTTTGCTGTATTTCTGATCAAATAAACGCAACCTTGGTGAGCAGAAGAAAATTCTTCAAAAAAAAAAATTTTTTTTTAATTAAAAATCTTACTGTTCGAAAGCTTTTGACTGGTAGTGTATCTACATGTTTTGCATTATTCTGGAGAGTGAACGCATGTCCAGGATGAGGATGCAATACATTCTGTCACATTTCTGCACACTATATGTTCAGTACGTCTGTATCCACACATCTCCACACCCGTCTGCTGTTCTTAAACACAGCGTCATTCTACTTTACATCCTCACTGGAGCTGACAGCTGCACTTACTTCTCACTGTTCACTGTGCAGAGCTCACATAAACATGCCTCGCTGTACTGTACTTACAGTGACGCTGTCATCAGCATAAACAAAGTACAACAAATACTAGTATGATGCATAAACAACTTGACCCTCTATCACTAGCACTCTCTATTCTATTAATATTCTACTTGTTTTCTT